ATATATATATATATATATATATATATATATATATATGTTGTAGATGAGCAATATGTGTGTGTATATATACATATGGCACAATATATTTATTTTTTTAATCTATTTCTTTTTTGGCCCTTTAGTAGGATCTTGCGGCTTATGTGGCTTTTTCTTTCTTTCTTTCTTTCTTTTTTTTTTTTTTTTTTTGGTTGAGGGGTTTGGACCCAGAGGTTTAACCACTGAGCCACATCCCTGGCCCTTTTTATATTTTATTTAGAAACAAGGTCTCACTAAGCTGCTTAGGGCCTCACTAAGTTGCTGAGGCTGGCTTTGAACTTGCTATCCTCCTGACGCAGCCTCCTGAGTTGCTGGGATTACAGACGTGCACCTGGCCATGTGTGGCTATTTTCTGAGCTACCTAGACCTTTCTGAACAGAGGTGTGAATTCTAAAGCAACCAATAATAAAACCCCATTATCTCCTAGATTATTATGACAAGGTCCACTGGCTTCTTGTATTTGTTACTTTTCTCTCTCTGCCACACTGATGCCTGCCCAGTCTTGGAGGGAGACACTGCGGCTATATGGGGCAGTGGATTGGTTCAAAGCATTATGTTCAAAGCCTGACTCAGCCACTACTAGCTCCATGAATGCTGGGCTAGTTGCTTACCCACTGGGTGCCTCGTTCCCCATCTGCAATATGAGGGTAATTATGTTACCTGCCTTAGATGGTGTGAGGGTTAGTTAAGCTCTTCTGTGTGTTAATAGCTAACAATTCCTGGCCAGTGGTGAGCACCATGCAAGTGTTTGACAGTGTTTGTGCCATTCCCTTCAGTGGGGACCATAGGGAGGGCTGGCTCTGTAGAGCATTCTATATCAGTGCTTCTCAAATGTTAGCATGCCCCAGCGTCACTGGGAGTTCTGACCAGTAGGTCAGCATGGGGCCTCATCCTGTAATTGAGTTGTGGCTGGGATCCACTGAGATGATCCAGAGGGGAATGAAGGACCCTGAGACTCGTGCCCCTGAGCCCCATTCTGAAGCTCCAGGCAGGCAAGACGCTATGCTGAGGACAAGAATCATGATTCTCTTGCACACCACAAAGTCACCAGCATTCAGAAGGGCTCAATAAATGTAGATTGAAGGAACGGACCAAAAGCCCAGTGAAGTACGGATTGAAGTTTGAGGATAGTGGTCAGGGCTCCCTTGGTCTAGGTATGGCTCTGTCCTCTTTGGAACATCCATTATCCCAAATTCTGCCCTTTGAATTCCAGAATTCAGAATGATTAGCCTGAAGCCTTATTTTGAGCTGGTAGCTGACTGAGTAAGTCAGGGACCACACTCCCAAAGGGACCTTTGCCTGCCTTCTTTAAGTGTTCTGGCCAGGGTTTGTAGGATGGCTGAAGAGGAGAGCCCACCAGACCACCAAACCACCTATCCTTGGGAAAACCCTGTAACCTCTGGGAGGGAGCAGAAGGTCTGGCATCCATCCAAAAATCAGCTCCTCCCTTTCCATCTTTCCTGGTTCAGAAAGTTCCTTATCTGCAACTTGTTGCTGAGCTAAACTAGAGCCCTGCCTGTGCCAGGCAGGATGTGGGTGCACACATATGTGGGTACATGTGGGTGTGCTATGGGGGAGCATGCCTTCGAGTGTGGCAGGTGCCTGAGCATGTGTGCACTCACACAGGTGGACTTGTGTGCCAGGCTCTGGATGTGCTGTGCGTGCCTCAGAACAGGATCACACCCACAGAAGTGTGCTCCTTGCACCCCTGCCAGCTCTCCACGGCCACTGCCTTCCTAAAATGTCCAACAGCAGACCCCAGGCCCTGGACAGGATGAGGGGTTCAGGGTGCAGAGCAGGAAAGCTGAGGCTCAGCGAGAGGGCCCAGTATCCCCTGTCTGAGGACACCACCAACCTTGCTGCCTCTAAGCCTGGAGTGTGGTCAACTAAATGGTTCCTGCCAGAGCTCATCCCAGGCCATAGAGACCCTTTTCAGCCCTTGCCAGTGGGCGGGGATAGTTCCATTCCATAATGGGGGAAACCACTGGTTCAAAAAGATGAGACCCACCCAGGGCCAGGAAGGAGGATCCTGAGACTGAGCCAGCAGTGGCTGCCTGGGGGCAGGGCCTCCTGAGGCAGGGCCCCAAGATCAGTCAGGGTGTTTTTGGTCAGCATCAACCAATAAGAACATGGGTATAAACTGCAGAGCACTTGACTCATTCTAACAGAGGCCATGGGGTCCCTGCTGGTGAGTGAGGGGAGGACAGTGACTAAATGGGCCAGTATCCATAAGCAGCTGAGGGTCTGAGGACAAGGTGGCTGTGACCTTGGCAACCCCCCCCCCCAAGAGCTGAGCTGGGAGGGCCTAGTTAATCCTCTAAGCTGTCCCCATCTTCTTAAGTAACTACTTTTGTTCTGGGGAAATTCAAGAGCCTGCGGTGCCTGGGAACCCCACAAATCTCTCTTGGCATGTGGGCCATTCTGGGACTGTGGCAAGGAGTGCCCGCCTGGGAAAACAAGGCTTGTGGACTGAGGGTTTGCAGGGCTCCCCACCGAGTGGGCAGGCACAGGCAAACACACATGAGAACAAACACACACTCTAGAGCACAGACACGCTTGTGCCCGTACACTCGACACAGCAATTCCAAATACACATCCCCTGGGAATACATGTGCATCTTCCAGGTCAGATCCACACACGGCTGATGAGCCTCAGAAGACATGCATGTACCAAACATTCACATACAGCTGCCATGCATGGCCTCTCCCCTCCTGGGGGCCTCAGGTGGTGATGGGTTGCCCTCAGTTACCTGGAGGCTATGTCTGCTCCTCCCAGGGGTCCCCCATCTGTCCCTTTCTCCTCTTTTCACCTTCTCACCAGAGGAACAGAGGACGGCCCTTCCTGTCGATGCCTGCCACCGGTCGGGAGCAGAGATGGCTTTGTCTTTTTAAGAACAGGTTCTGTGGAATTTCCACTTATTTCTCATCAAGGATAAGGGCTTGCTCTTGGAGCTCCCTAAGGACCCCAAATTGTGAGGAGGCTGTTTTCAGATGAAAACCATTTCATCTGAAATGTTTTTTTTTTTTCATCTGTCATTTGGGGAGTGCTTCATGATGCCTCTAAGATGCAGGTGCCTTCATTTCTTCCAGATCACTTAGAGAGTTGAGGCAGACTTAAACAAAACTCTCCCAAGCTTGGCCTGGAGGAAAGTGCTTTAAGCCCCCTGGTGCTTAGAATATGAGAATTGGGCCTGCTTCAGAGCCCAGAGCAAGTGGCAGGCTGGGACTACCAAGTGGGCTCGACATGAGAACTTCATACTCCTTTACCTGTGACTGCCTGAGGTCACAGCCAGCTCCCTCTCAGGACAGCGTTCCTCTCTGAAGCTCAGACTGTAATTTACCTGTGTGCACATGCCACAGGAAAGGGAAGGAGGGAGAATAAAGACACCTGTACTTTGCTGTGTGACCTAAGCAAGACTCTGCCCCTCTCTGGGCCTGGCACCCTCCTCTTTGCAGTAGAATGCTGGGGTTGTCTGGGGGATATTCTGCCCTCTGAGCCTGCAGAGGGCTTTCCTAGAGAGAGAAGTGGAAGGCAAGCTCAGGATGTTCCAAACCAAAACCTGGAGATCCTGTGACCTGGAAGCCCAGACTTGGTCTTGGTTCACTGCTGGGATCCACCCAGGCTGGGCCTGGTACAGCACAGGGCCAGGGTCTCCTTTTGGCTGGATGGGCCTCCTCCAAAGAGAAATAAGAGGTGGTAGGTGGAGAAGGGGGTCCAGCAAATCCAGGTAGGGCCAGTCCTACAGATCTGAGACGGCAGCTCCTGAGTCTCTGCCCCTTACCCTCCCTCATGTTTCCTGAGGCTCTTATCACTACCTATTTACTCATTAACTAAAATAAATCCATTTCCCCTGCTAGAATGCTGGTGCCTCTAGGGTAGGGATTTCCTTTTGTGCCCTCAGGTGCCTCACTCCCTGGATCGAGCAGGTGATCATTAAGTACTTGTAAAAAAGATGAGGAAGAGGAGGAGTGCTGAGGAGGAGGAGGAGGAGGAGTAATCTTAGAAATGGGGAAGGGCCATCCCAGGCCTATCACAGACCAGAGGCAGAGCCACCCTCAGTCTAGGAGGGATTGGAGCTGGGGAGGGGGCTCTGCCCTTTCTCCCAATCACCTCTACCTGAGGCTCCCTCCTCAGTCCCTGGGGAGCACATGTCTGGATCCGTGGGGTTGGAGCCACAGACAACAGAACTGTTGTTCTCAGGGTCTCAGTCTCTCTTAATGGACCTTCCAGGCACTGCTGAGAAAACCAGGGTAATTGTTCCCTGTGGCAGTGATGAACAGGAACAGGACTCTCTCCAGACTTGAGAGAAGCCAGGAGAGGGCTGGGTGGGGGTGGGGAATGGTCTTGGGATGAGTGCCTTCCCTGGCCAGGCCCTGGCCCTTAAATCCTCCCTCTCTGCATCCTCCTAGCAGCCTTCGGTCTAGACTGCTTGTGCCCATTCTTGGGGTGAGGTGACTTGCTCCCAGCTGGGTGCTGGTTGAGTCAGCCTTGGCATTAGACACTTGAGCAAGGAGGTCCTCAGGAGCTGAGTGGGGCCCTGCCACTCGCCAGCTCTGCGTGGCAGCAAGTCACTTCCCCTCCTCCTCTTTCTCCGTTTCCTCATCTGCTGCTCCCCGGACTGCTGCAGGAGGCAGTCTGTGGTGCGGGGACTGACTAGCAGTAGGGGCTGCTCCACAGGGCAGGATCCACTCCCGTGTTCATGGACTGCAAGCAGAGTGCTCACTAACGCCGGTGAGTTTCCCAGGTGGGCCTTGGGTACTCCCAACTCCTCTGGAAGCTTCTGAGAGCATGCTGTGTTATCTACTTGCTGCCACTGGCGGCTCACTGCCGGGCGAAGCAGGTGCAGGACAGGTGTGGGGGGATCTGCCCACTTGTACCTGGAGCCTGCTGCACAGCTAGAAGGCACGCAAGGCAGGAGGGGAGGAGGCAGTGACCTGGGGACTGGGCTGTGCCTTGGTGGAGGAGTGGAAGAGTGGGACAGGATTTGGAGCCACATTGGTCTGAGTGTGGATCCTGAATGACACAGGACACTTTTCATTTCTGGGCCCCGATTTCTTACTATGGAAAGTGGGGGTAGTAATGATCTTTCCCTAAGATTTGTGGGTGTGTTTGTTTTGTTTTGTCTGGTGATATTGGGAATCAAACCCAGGGCCTCACACATGCCAGGTAAGCACTCCACCACCCAGCTACATCCCCAGCCCCTCCCCTGAGTTTTTAAAAACTGTTCATTGTAGTGTGGTGTTGAGGGTCCCCTTGGGACAGAAGCTGGGCCCTGCCCCAAAGGTTCCCCAAGAGCCTTGGTGGGAGTGAACAGGCAGGATGGCATGATCAAATTCCCATTTGGTCTGCAGAAGAGGCTTTAGGAAGCCTCTTTTTTTTTTTTTTTTGTATTGAGGATTGAACCCAGGAGGGCTCGACCCTTGAGCCACACCCCTAGCCCTTTTTAATATTTTATTTAGAGACAGGGTCTTACTGAGTTGCTAAGTGCCTCTCTCAATTGCTGAGGCTGGCTTTGAACTCTCAATCCTCCTGTCTCAGCCTCCCAAGCCGCTGGGATTATAGGCATGTGCCACTTATTTCTGCCTTCCCCCTTAAATCTTGGACAGACCAAGCTGACTCCATGTGAACAATGGGGAAATTGTGTCCCTTAGTCCAGGTGTGACTTGTGAAGTTAGAGAAAGCAGTGTGAATGAGTGTGTCCAAGGGAGCAGTATTTTCTATTGCACCCAACTCTGCTGATCCCACCACAGGGACAGCAGGCAGCACTCTGAGACATGCTCAGCCCTGGCTCCTGAAGGTCGTGGGATTTGTGTGTCTTGCCACCTCTAGAATGGGCTGAAAGCCAACTCAGGGACAATCTCTCCACCCCTTGGTATGAAATGAAATGAAAAATGAGAAGGCTGTTGGCAGACTGTCAAGTGCTGTGCCTCTACACGTGTGTGCAAGTCCTTGGGTGTGTACGCATGAGAATGTGCAGCTTGTGAACGTGTGCATGTGTGTGTAGCCTGTGCACACTCCAGATCTGGCCAGGTGGGACTAACTTACACTGCCGAACTTACTCTTTGGCTGGGGCTCTTCTCCTCAAAGTTCTTATAATCATTTTTTTTTTTTTTGTATTTCCTCGCCATTTGTTAGTTTACCAGAAAGGGAGGGGGCCACCAACCGGAAACCTAGCAATTGTGTCTGAGCCTGCCCCCCTGGCCCTATCCTGTGGCTTCCCTGGAGACCTGGCTGCTGGGAGCTCCCGCATGGCCCTGTTCGCAGGGCCAGGAGCTTGCTGGACACCTCTGTGCACTCCACCTGCCACCGCTTCTCCCTCTAAGGCTCTGTCCTGTCTGGCTGCTTTTGCATCATTGTCCCATCAACTCTTTATAACATCCCAGTATCCTCCAGGGATGCTGTCATTGTTCCCATTTTACTGGCAAGGAAATGAAGGCTCAGTAAGGGAAATGACTTAGCCAGAATACCTACGGGACTAGTGGCAGTGCTCCGAAGTTTCAACCCAACTCACTCCGGAAATTTCTTTCTTCACTGTTGAGGCTGACCTGGTGGGCACGTGCTGCCTGGTTGACCGATGAACCCAGGAAAGAGCAAACGAGTAAATCTCACGTTCCGTGTTGAGCTGAAGGAGAAGGTTAAGCCGCCCCAGCAATGGCTGTCATTAATCCAATACCTACAATATGCCCAGTGTTTCACATAAAATGGACACAGCCCAGGCGATTGTCCTCTCCATTTTGCAGTGAAGGAAGCTGAGGATCAGAGAGGTTAAAGTGTCCTGTCCGCTGTGGGAGCTGGGATTACTGTGTCAGACTCCAGACCCAGAGCTCTGAGCTAGGATTTCTGGTTCCTTAGTGGAGGGCTGAGTCGCCAGAGCCTGGTGACAGATGGCCGTTCCACAAGAGAACCTGGGGCAGGTCAAGAGTCTCAGGAGGCTGGGTCCACAGGGCAGGCGATGCTTCACAGCACCCCAGCCCACCCCTCTCCCTGGGGCCATTTCCCCATTTGCCTCTGAAGTGGGTTTCTATTTTAGTCTGGCGTGGGGATCTGGCAGCCCAGCCTCTGACTCTTCTGCGCTGTCTGGTGACATGTCTAGTTAGAGCCATTGTCCTGCCCAGGGAACATGGCATTTGTTCTCTTCCCGACACCCTCCCCCACAACCTCCCCCAGGGCTGGCCCTGTCTCCTCAGCTCTGTGGAAGGTCAAGGCCTATGCAGCATGCATTGTTGGTCTGAGGAGATGGCCCAAGCTGGGTCAGTGACCTCTGTGTCCACCCATGTACTGGACACCAGGGGCCCAGGAGCTAGGAGATCTAGGAATTCATGAAGTCCTCAGTAGCTGAGGCAGAGTCAGGCCCCCTGACTCCCAGGGCAGAACTTGTTTTCATGGCCTCAATGGAGTGAGACTGTTCAGTGGCACCAGGAGGCAGATCTCAGCTCAGAATAAGGAAAAGAATCTGTGTCATGCCAGAGGAAAGGGAAGCAGGCACTCAGATGGGCCCACAGTTCTGGAGTGCCTTGTGCCTTCTGTTGGGGGATCAGGACATGACAGGGACAGACTCTGGCCAGGGGAAAGAAATCAGACTTCAAAATCCAAGCTGGGTTTGAATCCAAGCACCAGCATTTGCTGACTGTGGGATCTCAGACAAGTTACTGGACCTCTTGGAATCTCAATTTACCCATATGTAAAATGGGGTAATAGAACCCACCTGAGCAGTTTGTAGAATAGATAAAATAAGAAGCATATAACATTATCTGTATATCTTAGGAAGTCTTTATTCACCTCCCTCGGTGCCCTGGAGAAATTCCCTTAGGCAACAGTTTGTCTGATGGTTGAAGCAAGAGACAAGATTTGTAAGATGTTAGAATCAACCCTGAAGAATCGCCAGTACTTGATATTATGGTGCACGGTGTCTCATCTCATGTCCTTGTCTTGGTTCTGGCCAAGCTCCTGAGGTAGACATGCCTCCCTAACATGGGGAGGAGTGCAAGAGAGGTTAGTGCCTCTGTTTTTTTGTTGTTTTTTTTTTAATGTGCAGGAGTAAATCAGATAATAGATTGAAAATGAAACAACAGCCCTAGGCTTCCAGATCAAGCAGAAAATCTCCCCTCCCAACTCTTGGATTCATTGGTGAGATTCATTGAGGATTTGCTGTAGGCCATATCCACATCAGGTTTTATTAAATATTTAACTGAGTTAATACTGTAATTCACTTTTTTTTTTTTTTGCACCAGGGTTTGAACTCAGGGGCACTGGACCACTGAGCCACATCCCCAGCCCTATTTTGTATTTTATTTAGAGACAGGGTCTCCCTAAGTTGCTTAGTGCCTCTCTTTTGCTGAGGCTGGCTTTGAAATCATGATCCTCCTGCCTCAGCCTCCCAAGCCCCTGGGATTACAGGTGCGCACCACCACACCCCACAAGAGCTGGTTTTCTAAAGAACAACACTCCTCCTCTTGGAGGCTGCTTCTCCCTTTTCATTCCAGCTGCCAGGAAACTCAGTCAAAATTCCCTGATCACCTACCTTAGGATCAACATTAGACTGAAGCTTCTGTGTAATTTCTAAATCCCTGATCCTGGTTCTAAAAACATCAAGATGTAATTCACATTCCATAACACTTAACATTTCAAAGTATGCAATTCAGTAGATTTTAATATATTCACATTGTCCTGTGGAAATTCACAAGATCGTGCAATCATCATCACTATCTAATTTCATAATATTTTCATACCACGAAAAGAAACCCTGTGCCTCTTAGCAGTTACTCCCCATCCCTTTTCTCTTCCCACCCATCTGCCACAGAAACTACTAATCTTCTTTTCTTATGAATGTGCCTATTCTGGAAATTTCATGTAAATGAAATCAAACAATATATACTTTGGGGTGTCTGGCCTATTTCACTCAACGTAGTGACTTCAGGGTTCATTCACACGGCGTGGATCAGAATTTCATTTTCGTAGCTGAGTGATATTCCATTGTATGGGCATGCCATGTTTTGTTTACCTGTTCATCAATTGATGGACGTTTAGATTGTCCATCAATTTTTGGCTGTTATTAATAATGCCAGTATCTATGTTCAAGTTTTTGGGTAGATATATGTTTTCAATTTCCTTGGGTATATACTAGGTGTGGAACTACAGGGTCCTACAGGTGTTCCATGTTTAACTTGTCGAGGAGCCTCCAGACTGGTTTCCAGAGTGTCTGAGCCATCTTAGACTCAACAGCAGTGCGTGAAATTTCTGATTTCTCCATGTCCTTCCCAACTCTCTTCTTTGTATATCTTTTTCATGACAGCCATCCTAGTGGGTCTAAATTAATAGTATAGCGTCCGTCGACTTGCATTTCCCTAACCATTCCTTTTTATGTGTTATAGATATTTTTGCCATTTTATTGTATGTATTTCAGAGGCCTTTTAGGACATCTTTTAGGGAGCAAGCTCCCCTTGGAATGGGAGACTCCTGGGTTTGGATCCTACCTGTTTCTATCAGCTATATGACCTTGTGTATTATTGGACACTGAGTCTCAGTTTCCCAACTTGTTAAATGTGAATTAAAGCCAGGTGTTGTGGCACACGCCTGTAATCCCAGTGGCTCGGAAGGCTGAGGCAGGAGGATCACGAGTTCAAAGCCAGCCTCAACAACTTAGCAAAACCCTGTTTCTAAATAAAAATAATAATAAAAAGGGGTGGGGATGTGGCTCAGTGGTTAAGAAGTCTTGGGTTCAATCCCTGGTA